ATAGATGCTAGTCATTCCTAACTTTCTAACATTAGACTCAAAATCTGACTTCAACAAAAGCCTTTGTCAACAGGTCAACTTCTTGGGGACAAAAGGATTGATCGAGAAAGAATTCTTGTTCGTAATTTGGTTGGAACATAATGCAGTGAAAATGTACCATTTTCCATTTCTGACTTGATGAAGTTTCTGTCAATTCTTACATGTTTCATCTTGTCATGTTGCACTGGGTTATGTACTATGTTGATGGCTGACTTGCTGTCACCGTATAGTTTCACAGGCCCTTGAAGGGGAATAAATAAATCATGCAATAATCTTTTTATCGAAGTCAGTTCACAAACTCCATGAGCAATTGCTCTACATTCAACCTCTGCACTGCTTCTTGCAATAACTGATTGTTTTTTACTTCTCCATGTCACTAAGTTTCCCCATACTTTTGTATAGTATCCTCTGGTAGACTTTGAATCTTCAACTGAACCTACCCAATCAGCATCTACAAAAGACTCTACACTTCTGTGCTCATTTTTTTCTAAATAGTAATCCCTTTCCAGGAGTACTTTTGAGATAACGAAGAATCTGATTTACAGCATCCAGATGCCTCTTCCTAGGAGAATGCATAAATTGACTGACCATTCTAACACTGTAGGCAATTTCTGGTCTAGTGAGAGATAGGTAGATTAGTTATCCTACAAGGCATTGATATCTCTCCCTCTCAACTAGAGGATCATCTCAATAATCTTGTGTTTCAAATTTCGATCTAGGGGAGTTGTTGTAGGTCTACACCCTAGTTTCCCTGTTTCTCGAAACAAACCAAGAGTGTACTTCCTTTGTGAGATGAAAATACCTTTCTTGCTTCTAGCTATTTCCACCCCAAGAAAGTATTGAAGCAAGATCTTTAACCTTGAATTCTGCTTGCAAACAACTTTTGAGATTGTCAATTTCTTGATTTTCATCATCTGTGATTACCATGTCATCTACATAGACAATAAGAATAGCCCTTCTTTCATCTTTGGATTTTTTTACAAAAAGGGTGTGCTACACTTGGCTTTGAACATAGCCAAGTTGTTTCATAGTGGTGTTGAATCTTGTGAACCAGGCCCTTCGGGACTGTTTCGATCCATATAGCGACTTATTTAACCTACACACAGCATCATTCTTTTCTCCTTCAAATCCAGGGGGCAATTTCATATAAACCTCCTTCTCCAATTTCTCATTCAAGAAAGCATTCTTCACATCTAATTGGTGTAGTTTCCAATCCAGATTTGCTGCAAGAGAAATGAGAGTTCTAATAGAATTAAGTTTTCCAACTAGTGCAAATGTTTCTTCATAATCTATACCATGGGTTTGGGTAAAGCCTTGGGCCACTAACCTCGTCTTATATTTGTCTATCTTCCCATCTGCACCCATTTTTGTAGTAAATATCCATTTGCAACCCACAACTTTCTTATCCTTGGGAAGCTTGACAATATCTCAAGTCTTATTTTCTTCTAGTGCAGCATTTCCTCTAGGACAACAGCTCTCCATTTTTTGTCTTTTAGAGCATCAAAGACAGTGTTTGGGATTTGAACTCTATCCAATTTTGTAACAAAAGCTCTATATCTTGAAGATAGGTTAAAATATGTGAGGAAATTTGATATAGAATGCTTTGTACAAGATCTAACTCCTTTCCTTAAGGCAATAGGCAAGTCAAATTCATCTATAGTATCATTTTCAACATTAAGATTTTCAAATGCACAATTACCTTCGGTGTTACAGTCTACTGCTTCCACATTATTTGGCTCCATGTCTGAAGATTGACCTTGCAAAGGAACATTATAACTCCTAGTGTAGAATTTTGGAAAAATTTGAACTTATTTTGACTCCTCTTTTCTAATTCTCCCCCTAGACTAGTTATTTGTGTAGATTTTGTTTCAGAATCCTTTTGTATAGGTTCGGGTAAAGGAAGAGAAATTGGAAGAGAGATGGAAGGATCCCAATGATGAGGTTTAATCATATTCACCCCCTGAAACGAATCATTGTGAAAGAAGGGTTGATTTTCAAGAAAAGTGGTATCACATGATATGTAAAACCTTTTGGATTTTGGGCAGTAACATTTGTACCCTTTTTGTGTAGGAGAATAGCCAAGGAATATGCATTGATGAGATTTTGGATCCAGTTTTCCTCTTGTAGGACTTGAGTTATGAACAAAGATTGTACACCCGAATATTTTTGGTGGAATAGACTCCAACATTCTGACTAAAGGAAAAAAGTCTTTTAGACAATTAAGAGGGGTTAAAAATTGGAGAGGTTTGGAGGGAAGACAATTTATAAGATAGGTAGCAGTTAACACAGCTTCTCCCCAAAAATGGTTGGGAACATTTGTGGTGAACTTAAGAGAACGAGCAACCCCCAAAATGTGCCGATTTTTTCTTTCAGCAACCCTATTTTGTTGCAGGGTATGGTTGCAAGAACTTTGGTGGAATATGCCATGTTCTTGTAGGTCACCATTAAGATCATTAGAGAAGTATTCCCCCCCCCCCCACATTATCAGTACGAAGGATGTGAATTGATGAGCCAAAAATATTGGTGACAAGTTTATGAAACTGTTTAAAGGTTGTGCTAGCTTCAGATTATTCTTTTAAGAGGTACACCCAACACACACGAGTATGGTGATCTATAAAGGTGATAAACCATCTAGCTCTATTTATGTTAGGAATTCGAGAAGGACCCCATAAATCACTATGAAGGAGGTGGAAGTGTTGTGATGGTTTATAAGGATGAAAAGGATAATTAGTTCGAGATTGTTTTGCAAGAATGCAATGTTCACACCTAAAAGAAGAAATATTTTTATTGATGAATAAATCTGGATACAAGTGTTTCAAATAATTGAAATTAGGATGACCAAGATGGTTGTGCCATAGAAAAATATTTGAATCTGACACGGTTGACAGGGAGATGGTTTGAGGAGAATCTAACTTTGAGGGTGAATTAGAAACAAAGTACAAACCATTGTGTTCCTTAGCACTGCCAATCATTGTCCCCGAAGACAAATCCTGAAAAATACAGTGAGAAGGGTAAAAAATTATTACACAAATTAGATCTTTAGACAATTTACCGGCAGATATGAGACTATATTTTAATTCAAGAACATAAAGGACAGATTTTAGTTTTAGTGCTGACAGTTTTAAGTTACTAGTACCAGCTACCATTGATGAATTACCGTCAACTACTGTAATAGCGACACCTTTATCAGCTTTCTTGTATTACGTAAAGTCAGCAAATGACTCTATCATATGGTCAATAGCACCGGAATCTAGGATCCAATCTCCTATTTTTTCCTGTCTAGACAAGAAAGAAAATTGACCATTACCTTTGTGAGCAATGTTTGTTGTAGAGTATGATGGTGTAGAAGCTTCAGGTTTGAGTTGAGAGAGTAGGTTCTATATCATATCCATTTGCTTATCAGAAAAAATAGCAGAACATTGCTTCTTTAAATCTGCAAAAGATTCAACAACATTAATAGAGGCAGCACCTTTGTGCTGACTTCTGGGTTTCCAATCTGCAGGTTTTCCATGAATGAGCCAGCATGTCTCCTTGGCGTGGTAAGGTTTTTGGCAATGATCACACAATGTCTAGGCCTCTTTAGGACAAATAGTCTTTTAGATCATTTTTCTGAGATGCAAGAGTTGAGTTTAGATGAGGATCCTCAATTGTAGGATTGTTTTGCAACATCACTTTCCTCCTACTTTCTTCTCTTCTAACCATGGCAAAGGCTTTCTTGAGAGATGGTAGTGGTTTGAGGCCAAGGATCCGTCCCCTAACCTCATCTAATTCTTTTGCAAGTCCCTGAAGGAAATCAAATACCCTCTCTTTTTCCAACATTTGATCATACAACAATTTATCCTCAAAACATTTCCACGAAACAGTATAGAACAAGTCCATTTCTTGCCATAACTCAACCGACATATTAAAATACTCAGTTATAGATTTGTTACCTTGTCGAGTATTATGCAAAGCTGACCTTATTTCAAAGCATTGGGCAAAGTTTTGGAGGTTTGAGTACATCTCCTAAACAGTGGTCCATATTTTCATGGGCAGTTTTGCAGAAAAGGTAGGTTCTACCAATTTTAAGTTCCATTGAGTTGATCAACCAAGCCATGACAATGGAGTTCTCTACATCCCAGTTATTGTAGGAAGGATCAGTCATTGGTGGAGCTGCAGAAGCCCCTATAAGATACCCATTTTTCCTTTCCCTTTGATGACAAGAAGCACTAACTGGTACCATTCTCGGAAGTTTAACCCATTTAATTTGTGTTAGGTTATTTGAACTGAGGGGTTTAGGTCAATAGGTTGGAAGGATGAAGCCATATGGGCTGAGTTGTTTAGGTTTCTATTGGAAGGCAAAATATTTTCTGGTGTGGACGGTTGTGTGGGTGGCGCATCAGCCATGAAACTGTATTGAGTTTTCATCCAAGATGAACAACAGTAGGCTCTTGATACCATATTATCAGAATCGGAAGAAATCATTCTTCTTATTTTATTCAAATGATTGGTCTAGTACATAAATAGGTAAAACAGGGAGATAAAAAAAGGAAACAAATAATAGGCAATTCCCATAATTAAATAGGAATCCCTATAAACCAATAACAGCAATAAAGAATAAATTGTAGACCTTAATCCCTGAAATTCTGCAACATAATAATATCCCATTAATTTTGCGATTCCTATCCAACAAATACATTAATCAAAGAATTGATCTGCATAAATTTTGGGATTCCTATCCAACAAATACATTAATCAAAGAATTGATCTGCATAAATTTTGGGATTCCTATCCAACAAATACATTAATCAAAGAATTGATCTGGTGTATTTGTCCGGATTAGTTTTCATGAGGAATGGGGATCAAACCCCACTAAGGCCAGACCAGCTGATCTATTTCGAATTTAATAACAATACTCTAGAAAAACAAAAAAATTATTATTATAATTTACTTTAAAAGAGACTAAAGATATAAATAGTTACCTTTTTGTTGCATCCTACAGAAAAACCAATGGCTGTGCTAAGTAACCCATCAATACCACTAGCCCCCCTGTTAGCAGCCACCCTCATCAAGTGAATTGGTAGGTCTGAGTTTAACATCAGTGGTGAAACACTTTGATTGCTTATAGACCAACTACATCCATATAAGTTTGCATCCCGAATAGGCATACTGTTACCAAGAAAAAGTGCAGACTCGGTGGAAAGTGCTTCTGACATCAGATGTGCAACATAAGGTTCAGTTAGGGAGCACTCAGCAGTAATTTGAAATTTTATCTCCCACTCAACCTGTACATTAAAATGTTATTAGAATTTTTACATGAAAATGACTATGCAAGGAATTATCAGCCACAAACAGAAACCTCAAACTGTAGTTGTCATTCCAACATTTTAAAGCAAACGATTGGCCGTAGTATTGGGAAAAACTCACGTCTCACCTATCCTAGATCATTAAAAAGAGTCATCCACCATTTATTTACGCACCAAGTCCAATAGTATTGGGCATGAAGTGGTGGCAAAAACTCAAGTCTCACATCGACTAGAGGGCCAACAAAGCTGGTTTTGTAAGTAGGAGTCAGCCTTCACCTTACGAGCCAATTTTGTAAGGTTGAATTAGACTCACCCATATTCTAAGATTGTATCAAAGCTACCCTAGATCCATTAAGAAAGCTACCCTAATAAATTTTTATGTTCAAAGCTCGGTGCATATAATCTGTATGCACCAGCTTGAGGGGGAGTGTTAGAATAGCTTGTTTAGAATGCTTCTTCTTATTTAAATATTTATTGTATTTTTCTGATTGGACTTTTCTCTTGATGTGATTACTTAGGCTTCTAGACTCTGTAGCCTACTATGTAGCCTTTTCTTCTTGTAACCCTAATCACTCTTTATATAACAAAACAGTAGTGGTAGAGGAAGATTGAGCTTGATTCATAGATTTCCATTGAAGATATTCCTGATAGTCATCTTCAGGAACCTTCATCTCAGATTTTCCTAATTTCTCAAACTTGGACAGATTTGCTATCTTCTATGGAAAACCATGAAGAGAATAACAATTCTCTTGGATATGACCCATCCTCTTGCAGTATGAGCATTGAGGACGCCCACTTCTACCTCCTCTTCCTCCTAGATTTCCACGACCACCTCTATCATGACTTGAAACCATTGCAGAAGCTTCAACAATTCCACCAAAGTTTTCATTCTTCACTTCTGTAGGGACACAAAGAAGTCTAGTTATTAGGCTGTCCATTGAAGGAATCTTGTGGCCAGTCAGAATCTGGTGACAAACATGATTGAAGTAGGGTGCAATGTTCTCAGGATCAGCACCATATATAGCCTATCAAGTTTTTTATTTATTCCCTCTAATGAATCATAGGAACATTTTTAGTTCTTCTATAGCAGCTTGGGCTTCAGCAATGTGAGACGTCATTTCATGATAAATTTGTTTCAAGGATGCTATTTTCTTAGTAGCATCATATAACCGTTGAATATCATTTGCATAAATATTTTGAGCCTTTTTCTAGAAAGAACAGCAAGTTTTGAAGGATCTAAGTGTCCCCAAAATATTGGGCTCAACCGATTGCCACAACACAGCACATAGTCGAAAATCAAGCTTCTTCCATTTATCCCGACTTTCATCTTATAAGAGAGAGATATGAGGGAGATTTAGAATATTCAGTCAATTGTATTATTGATGAATGAAAAGGTACATACAAAGATTACAACAATCGTATATATAGTCCTAACCAACTTCTAACTAACTATGATAGTTAACTAACTTCAATACACTTAATAAAAGTATTTATTATTCTATTCTCTAATATACCCCCCACAAGCTCAAGGGGGATGAAAGATAGTGGACGAGTCAGTCACATTGAGCTTAGACCGAAGAAACAAGAATCTCTTAGGCGATAGCGCTTTAGTTAAAACATCTGCATATTGATGCTGAGCAGGTATGTGTGAGACAATAAGAGCTTTACTTAACACCTTCTCTCGAACAAAAAAGATGTCTAGTTCCATATGTTTAGACCTTGAGTGTAGCACAGGATTGTGAGATAAAGAAACAGTGCTTTGGTTGTCACAAAGTACATTGGGAGTATTAAATTTGACTTGCAATTCCTTTAGAAGAGATTGAAGCCATAATACTTCAGTAACAGCTTGAGCCAAGGCTCTGTATTCAGCTTCAGTGCTTGACCGTGCAACAAGCAGTTGCTTCTTTGACCACCAGGATACTAGATTAGGACCAAGATAAATGCACGCAGCAGAGGTAGATCGTCTATCATTAGGATCAGCTGCCCAGTCAGCATCAGTGAATGCAGTAAGATTAAAAGGATTAGTAGATGTAGTAGGTGTGAACAGCAGACCATGACCAAGAGTGCCTTTTAGATATCTAAGTATCCGTTTAACCACTTTCCAATGCTCCTCCATTGGCAAGCACATAAACTGACTTACTTTATTAACACTAAAAGCAATTTCTGGCCTTGTAATTGTGGCATATTGCAGGGCACCAACAATGGATCTGTATAGGGTTGGATCATCAAATAATGTGCCATCCTTGGTGAGTTGTAAACCACCAATCATAGGAGTGGATATTCCTTTACAATCCTCCATTTTAACTCGAGTGAGAAGGTCAGTGATGTACTTGTCTTGAGATAAAAACAGCCCACCTTGAGGAGTAGGTTTAACTTCAATGCCCAAAAAATAGTCCAAGGAACCAAGATCCTTAAGAGAAAAATTGGTATGAAGCTCATCAACCAGTTTTTGCAATAAGACCGACGAAGTACCTGTAAGAATGATATCATCTACATAGACTAGCATGTAGACAGTGGTTGTGGAGTGAGAGAGAATGAACAGACTCGGATCACATTTGCTTTTGGTAAAACCAAGTCTAAGTAAAACAGAGGTTAGTCTTTCAAACCAAGCACGAGGGGCTTGCTTTAATCCATAAAGTGCTTTTTGCAATTTACAAACAAGAGTTTTGTTTCCAGATTGAACAAAACCAGGAGGCTGAGACATATAAATATCCTCCTCAAGCACTCCATTAAGGAACGCATTATTAATATCCAGTTGTCGAAGAGGCCATCGAAAGGAAATTGCCAGAGAGAGAATAGTCCTAATTGTGATAGGTTTCACAACTGGAGAAAATGTTTCTGAAAAATCAATACCAGGTTGTTGATGAAAACCTTTAGCAACAAGTCTGGCTTTATATTTGTTGATAGAACCATCAGGATTTTCCTTAACTCGAAAAACCCACTTACAACCAATGGGTTTTCTTCCAGGAGGTAGATCAACCAAAATCCATGTCTGATTGTCATGAAGAGCTTTGATTTCTGCTTGCATGGCAGTTAACCAGTTTGGGTCAGTAAGAGCAGCTTTCACTGTCTTTGGTTCTGTGCTAGACAGTAAAAGTGTGGGAGTGATTCGTGGTTGAACAATTCCATTCTAGGAGCGAGTAATCATTGGATGAACATTAAGTGGCCTAGCAGAAAATGGGTTGGAGGAAAGAACAGGAGCAGCAAACAAGTGTTGCTGAAAAACTGAAGTTGAAGGAGAGACAGCAGTATCAGCAATAGAATCAGAATGCAAATTACTGAATCTTGAGGAGTCTGAGTTTATGTCGGATGTAGGCTGAGTTGGTGTTGATAAAGATGGATTATGAGCAGAGATTAAAGAAGGGATTGTAGACACAGAGGTTGCAGGGATGGTAATTTTGGATTTGGGAGAAAACAATTCATGGTAGGGAAACCGCATTTCATTAAAAATAACATCCTTGCTGATGTAAATTCGGCCAGATTTACTTAAACACTTATAACCTTTGTGGCTGGGAGAATATGTGTCTTCCATTTTTAAGTGATCGTGGTACCCTTGACCAAGGAACCATAGTTCCACAGAGGCAGCCCATGATAAATAATTTTTTCCATTGAGTTTCTCCGTGGTTATGGTCAGAGTACTAGAAATAAACAAAATAGGGCCTAGAGATGGCATAAGAAGATGGGTCATGCAACAGGGATTAGAGAGAGAAGAACAGCAGAAGAGAAACGCAGGCCCACACCTTAAATAGTGGTCAAATCAAAAAATTGAGTCCAAAAATAAGCTCAGGAGGTTCCGACGAACAAGACGGCGGAGTGAGGAGGTTCCGACGAACAGACAGCAGCGCATGAATAGCAAACGCTTGACAGAACCGGAGAGAGAAACGGCGCGTGAGAGCGCGTGGGGACTCTGACAATGCCGGAGTTGACGGGGTAAGGTCGTGCTTGACAAGGCGCACCAAACCCTAGGTTCGCCGGAGTAACAAGTCGGCAGTGGACGGCGGCAGACGACAGAGCGGGATCGACCCTACTCTGATACCAACTTGTATATTGAAACAGATTGGCCAAAAAGGATCAGTCATATTGATCTATATATTTTCCTTATATAAAGAGTGATTAGGGTTACAAGAAGAAAAGGCTACAGAGAAGGCTACAGAGTCTAGAAGCCTAAGGAATCGCATCAGGAGAAAAGGCCAATCAGAAAAATACAATAAATATTTAAACAAGAAGAAGCTTTCTAAACAAGTTATTCTAACAGTTACCAACCATTTACACAGCATCAAGCTTAATAGTGTTGGGTATGAGAGAATGTATTGGGAAAATTCTAAATTCCACCTATCCTAGATCATTAAAAAAGGATCATCCACCATTTATCCACGCATCAAGTCTATAATGTAAATAAGGCCAAGAAAGAGTATATAAGTGGGGAGCAACCCTCACTTTACAAGTTGGTTTTGTAAGGTTGAGTTAGACTCAAACCCACATTCAAAGATTTTTTTTATATAAAAGAAACTTTTATTGATAATGTATGTCACTTCAATTACATTCTCTAGTCATGCTTTTATAGAGAAAACTATACTCTCAAAAATGTGGAAACTATGACTTAAAGATAAAAGATAAAACAGAAATAAAATATAAGATACTGATAAACCTCTAAAGATATTTGTTATTTTCAACACATAGTATAAATGTTTTCAACTCCAACTGATACCAAAAACTACTAGATAAGATACCGCAGGAATACATCTCATAAGAGTAAAAGAAAACACTGCCAATATTATCATAACAAGAAGTAACTTTTCATTACTGGAATTATTACCATTTTATTCAACAATTGTAGGGAAGTGCTCCACGTGCTACTTGTAGGTGGAACTGCAGCTTTAAGTACACAGCCCACAAATTCAAAAATGGAAGTTTGTATCCGATGAGTAACAATATGTGATGGATCATGACGATGTGGATGCTTGTCGACCATAATATATGAAAAAGGAGCACAGTCCTCAAGAATTTGGCAGATTCTTTTGCTAGTTATTCTGCTTCCTATCTGCTCCAAATAAAAAATAAAAAAGACAGTAACAACTAGAAAAGGAAAAACTATCCTATCAAAAAATGAATTGCAGAAACATAACTCATAAAGGAATATCAAAATTATAGAAGGAAATACACGGGGAATCAGTAAAAGATTTTTGTAAATATAAATGGTAATACCTGAATAACCACATCAATCTCTAACCAGCCCTTGACAGAATCTGAGAGAAGAGCATGATCAAGATTATCAACAAATATAAAGTTTCTTTCAATATCAGGAAACGAAGTTAAAAGCTTTCTTAGCCGCAACCCTGACAAGATATCTGCTACAACAGGCCACTGAAGGTGTTTAGCCAAAAGCAGAGCAGCCCACATCTCATCCTCTGTATGGATTGCGCCAAATAATAGAAGACTATTGTTGGCTCTTAGAATCAGATTTAGAATTTCAGTCATTTCACCAGGAGCATTTATACAACTATGAGACAACTGCATATGAATATACTTGGTAAATGGTTCAGCATTAGTCATCCAGAAGTCTAACCCCGTTAAATAGCTTGACAACCATTTGCGGGGACTGCTTTCCAAAGGCTCTCTAAAAGGGCAGTTAATATGCACTGGACCACGTGGTGAAGAAATTGCCCAATGTACAGCAGAATCAAGAGTGGTAAGTACCATCTTTGCAGGAATTTGATCTGTGGGTGCAGGAAGATTAAAGAAAAATCTCACAAAAGAACCAAAATGGTTCACCTGATACAGGAATTTAACATGTAGCTTGAGTAACCAAGGAAAACATGAATATAAATATTCCTTCATTTAGAACAACTAATTACTTGCCACTGCAACAAAATAAAATATAGCTAAGTTTGGATTACCATTGGAAATTTGTTGGAGGGTGACAAATGTACTTTAAAGAAGGAACTCCTTTGTATCTTCTGCTCTCAATGTACTTTTGAAAGGGTCCAAATGGTACTCCAAACAAGTACTATATTTGTAATAGAAAATCATTATCGACTTTCCAAATTAATGCAGCAGATGTAGTAGTGAATTATTTCAAAAATATATGAAAGTAGAGTCTCAGTTTGGCAAAATGGCAAGGTTGTTGCTTTGTGATTGTAGAAAGAATAAATCTGAATGTTGTGTGTTGTATGTTCAGTTGTTCACACATCAATCATACTTATAATCACATATTAGGGAACAACAGAATCAATCATAAATACAATCTTGTAGTTCAGTGCTGTGGGCACAACAGAATAAGTCATAAATACAATCTTGTCATAAATACGTGTTAGTGAACAGAATCAATGGGCACCTGATAAAGCCTAATTAGTAAGGCAAGATAGCAGGCCCAAGGTTTGGAGAGTCTACACTAGGAGGAATAAGATATAACAAATTCTTCTCTGTTTGTTATCTATTTAGGAAGTTAATGATTGCAACCTTTTTTATTAAATTTAAAGATAGGATTATCTACGAAGTGGATAACAGATAGAATAATAGGATGATTTAGGAAGTTAATATTAATAATAGATAATATTATCTAGGAAGTTTGTTAGGAGGAATATAAAAAGGGACAGGGGAAGTCTGTGAGATCATTGGAGGTTATACTTATGGAAATTGTTTGGAGCTTACGCTCTTAAAAAGGAGGAAGCAGATCACTATCTGTGACTTTTTTTTTACTCAATAAAACAGACTTTATATTTCTAGGATCCTAGCAGCACCCTTGTGGCTGAGTCTTGCATCCCAATTTTCCTGTCTCCTTAAAAATATCTATTATCAGAAGTGGAAGAAATCATTCTTCTTCTTATTATTCAAATGATTGGTCTAGTACATAAATAGGTAAAACAGGGAAATAAAAAAGGAAACAAATAATAGGCAATTCCTATAATTAAATAGTAATCCCTATAAATCAGTAACAACAATAAAGAATAAATCATAGATCCTAATCCCTGAAATTCTGCAACATAATAATATCCCATAAATTTTGGGATTTCTATCCAACACTCCCCCTCAAGCTGGTGAATAGATGCTAGTCATTCCTAGCTTGCTAATATTAGACTCAAAATCTGACTTCAACAAAGCCTTTGTCAGCAGGTCTGCTTCTTGTAATTTGGTTGGAACATAATGTAGAGAAAATGTACCATTTTCCATTTCTGACTTGATGAAGTTTCTGTCAATTCTTACATGTTTCATCCTGTCATGTTGCACTGGGTTATGTACTATGTTTATGGCTGACTTGCTATCACTGTACAGTTTCACAGGCTCTTGAAGGGGAATAAATAAATCATGTAATAATCTTTTTATCCAAATCAGTTCACAAACTCCTTGAGCAATTGCTCTATATTCAGCCTCTGCACTGCTTCTTGCAACAACCGATTGTTTTTTACTTCTCCATGTCACTAGGTTTCCCCATACTTTTGTACAGTATCCTGTGGTAGATTTTGAATCTTCAATTGAACCTGCCCAATCAGCATCTGCAAAACACTCTACACTTCTGTGTTCATTTTTTCTGAACAGTAATCCCTTTCCAGGAGTACTTTTGAGATAACGAAGAATCTGATTTACAGCATCCAAATGCCTCTTCCTAGGAGAATGCATAAATTGACTTACCACACTAACACATAATGTCAAAAATATTTGAGGAATTTACTTTGGTCTTCCAAAAAAACATAAAGGAAAATGCTAAAACATTTTAGTTTCAACGCAAATCCTTCAAAATATTTGAGGAATTTATCTGGAAAAGGCTAATTTCAAATAAAACCCTATATATAATGTCAAAAATATCAATAAAATTAAGATATTCCTATAATAATAATAATAATAATAATAATAATAATAATAATAATAATAATGGTATTGCTAGGATTAAACAGAAACTCTATTGTTTATAGGCTCCATAATTATGTTGCATAGACGTCATAAATATATCACCCAATATCAACAAAGCCATGATGGTTAAAAAGAGAGTAATAACCACGCCATTGCATCTAATCTAGTGACATCCACTGTACGAGGTATATGTAGATTATATTGGTGGGTCATAGAACTGTTGTACTGAAAATATTTTAACAAGAATACAAAAATTAATCATCTTTTGTGTTTCATTATGCTTCTGCCAAGCCATTGCTATCCCCATCTCGTAGTAAATGGTATAAGGTGTAGTGGGTGGGGGCATCTGTAGAACAATAATGATGTAGGGTCACATAAGATGTGTATTTTTAATACAGATATCTAACATGAATCATAGGGTAGTGCCTATATGGGACGATTGCGATTAGTGTGGTGGGAAATATTTATATCTTTGAAGCCAAGTGCTGTATCTTTGAAGCATTTTTTCACTTGGCTTGCACATCAAGCCAATATCATTTCATTTCTTAATCTCAAGTTATTTTTTTTCTCTATGCATGTGTGATGGGAGCATGTACGTCAAGTTTGTATTTAAGTGTGTGACCTAAAATATATGTGATTTTCCTCAAAATCTTGGTAGTTTCTCTAAAATTAGGAGGATGTGATTTTCTCAGCAATAATATGTAGTGTTATATTTACCGAAATCGAAATCAATTTTTCCTCACTAAGACTCTAAACATTAAACATGCTAATAGTCCGTGTGATTTTCATTTTTTCCAATGTCCTATTGTTGAGACTAATTGATGAATTGATTGTTTAATGCATTATAGCTGACAGGATAAAGTTTTTTCATAAATACTTATAAAAGATAAAGATAGGAATGAAAAATTATAAATAAAATTAAAATTAAAATAAGTTTATCTACATAAACTAATTTTGATGATGAAAAGTCAATACAATAACAACTGAATAGCAAAGGAATGAGTAACAAGAATTGTTAGAATATAAACATTAAGTGGTTCATAATTAAAATTGATATAGTTGTTATAAGTTTCAAATTTCTGTATTATTGATTTTTAATGTAGAAAAATGAAATGAATAGTTACATTTTTTAGTTTATAAAAGGTTCTCTGTTCTTACCTATATAAAGTCTATAATATTTCATTGATTGAGACATTCCAAAAAAGTAAAAGATTATAAGACTTCTCTATTCTCTCTAAATTTTCTTTTTTTAATATTTGTGTGAGATTCTTTGTGATAATAATGTATGCAAGGGAAGGTATTTTTCTATATTATTACTTTTCTATGGGGTTAGGATGCTATGACTACACCCAAACATGTAATCATAAATTATTTCTCTTTACATATGCTAAATTATCTAATTTAATTATTTACTACATAAACCTTATTAATGTAATAAGCCAAAGCGTATAGCAAATAACAATCAAATTGAAATAAATATAGCAATTATATACATGAAATTTGATTTTATTTATTTATTTATTTTTAATAAATATAATCCAAAATTAATATAAGTAACCTTAATTAATTATGATCCAATTCATCAAATTTTGCTATTATCATTAAGTCCTCATAAACAAGAACAATTTCAGTATAGTAATCACTCTAAAATATTATATATATATATATATGATAATTTTAATTGATATATTCTAAATTTTGTATATAAATTAAACTCGTCTAATAAATAATATTAAACAACCAGTTTAAGAATTGGATTGAGGGTTTTGAATGAGAAGTTCATGAACTTTTGTGTCAAAAAAAAAATTTAGAAGAATGTATATTGTTTTACTTTTAAATATAATGCATTAAACTATAATGCAAATTTGAGGTAAGTAAGCAATAAGACAGAAATCCCTATATATAATATATAATGTCAAAAATATTTGAGGAATTTACTTTGGTCTTCCAAAAAAACATAAAGGAAAATGCTAAAACATTTTAGTTTCAACGCAAATCCTTCAAAATATTTGAGGAATTTATCTGGAAAAGGCTAATTTCAAATAAAACCCTATATATAATGTCAAAAATATCAATAAAATTAAGATATTCCTATAATAATAATAATAATAATAATAATAATAATAATAATAATAATAATGGTATTGCTAGGATTAAACAGAAACTCTATTGTTTATAGGCTCCATAATTATGTTGCATAGACGTCATAAATATATCACCCAATATCAACAAAGCCATGATGGTTAAAAAGAGAGTAATAACCACGCCATTGCATCTAATCTAGTGACATCCACTGTACGAGGTATATGTAGATTATATTGGTGGGTCATAGAACTGTTGTACTGAAAATATTTTAACAAGAATACAAAAATTAATCATCTTTTGTGTTTCATTATGCTTCTGCCAAGCCATTGCTATCCCCATCTCGTAGTAAATGGTATAAGGTGTAGTGGGTGGGGGCATCTGTAGAACAATAATGATGTAGGGTCACATAAGATGTGTATTTTTAATACAGATATCTAACATGAATCATAGGGTAGTGCCTATATGGGACGATTGCGATTAGTGTGGTGGGAAATATTTATATCTTTGAAGCCAAGTGCTGTATCTTTGAAGCATTTTTTCACTTGGCTTGCACATCAAGCCAATATCATTTCATTTCTTAATCTCAAGTTATTTTTTTTCTCTATGCATGTGTGATGGGAGCATGTACGTCAAGTTTGTATTTAAGTGTGTCAAGTGCATATTTCCCTATGGAGATACTTTTTGGAATAGGTAACTTCTATTCCAACAAAATACTTTACCTTTTCCAACTCTATTTCAAATGTGTGATCAGCCTTTCTTTCAGAGGCAATCACTGTCTTATCATCACCTGTAATGATCATATCATCTGCATACACTAGGAAAATCTAGTATTGAAGACCCTGCCCTCAATATCATAGTAGGCCGAAAAATCTTTCTTCGTGGAATACATCTCACAAAGATTATCCCACATCTCACGTACAAAGGAATAGAACATATAATTTCAGCTCACTTGCTATGTCATAGAATTCCATAGTCAGGTCATGATAAGAGAGTCCTCTCATGCCAAGCTTTGAACTTCAGGTCATCTCAAGACAGTCCACCCCAATCAATATGGCTTAGTTTCATGCAGCCTTTGAGAATAGTACAAATGTATTGTGCCCACTGTAGCTAGTTGTGACCATCAAGTCGATAAGAACCCACCAAATTCGAGAGGTCATTAGGGCCCTAAGTGATGACTGTCTTCTGCTATGACACATGAACAGTATGCATGAAAAGTGTGTTGCACCTCCTGGTTTGACAGCGAGTCGCGTAGGCGATGGCATCAGCAGCGCTGGTACTAAGGACATCTCCAATGGAAGCAACTCATTTGAGTTGCTTCATGCATTGAAAAATGAAAAAAGTGGTCTCCAGTGTGCCATGTCAGCATTAAGCAACTCAAACACAAATTTATTCCAATGGTAAGAAATTTTAAGAAATTCAACTTTTAGAATTTTTTTCTAATCATTTATGAACCAAATTTAAATTTTTATTAAAAAGATAATTGCACTACAATGAAAAAAACAAATTACGAGAAAAAATACATAATAAGTAGATATTAAAAATAAAATAAAGCAATAGTAAATACATAAACATTATAAGAAATTAATTTTCATCATTATTATTTCTGAAACGTTTCTAAATATGTTCAATAAGATCGGCTTAAAATCTGGTAAGGAACAGTTGCTTGAGGAAGCAACTCTCTTTCTTCTTCAAACAACTCATGTTGCCACATCAGAGTCCTCCAATGGCAAGAAACCGGGGCTTGAGTTGCTTCATGGAACAAGCAACTCCCATTGGAGTTGCTCTAAGTAGCAAAACAAAGCTCTCAAGATTTGGAAGCTCTAATACCAAATTGAAAAGAAAGGAAACCATATATTAATCTTGTATATTGTACATTCACTAATATTCCCCTTTTATAGGGTAAAAGGCTATGCTTAACAAAAAAAAAATAATAGGGATATATCATATAAGGACATAAAAATAATAATAATAATAATAATAATAATAATAATAATAGGGAAACAAATATCTAAAGATATTTAGAGATATCTTTTACATTCAAAATATTTATGATATTTACAACATAAACCATGATATTTAAGAACGTTAATGGTTTTAACCTGATCAATTGCTTGGTTTGCCCCACAATCTAGAAGCTCTGGAGGTCGATCTGCTGTAAGCAAAATAAGTGGCACAAAATCTTGACTTGCCTCCACAACCTACAAATTTTATCAGTCACCTAAAGACATCAAAAATATTATTTGTATCATAAAAACCTTGAGAAACATATCCGTCTAGAGAATGAAAACTACAAATCAAGTTGATGGAAATAAAAGTATAAACAAAGTGCAAAAAAGGAGCCAGAGCAACCAATTGAACAAACCCTAGAAAATCCTCAAATTTTTATATCACTGATACGAGACAAAGCGAGGACAGTTAGTCATTATATTAACTAATTGGTAGTTGTTATGTTAGAGGCAGTTACTTTGTATAAATAGGAGAGAATTATAGAATTAGGGGCAGAAAAAGAAAGTGGAATAATCTTGGGAGAGATAGATACTTTCGAATTGCCTTGTATCACTTTTTATTAAGAGCTAACAGTGATACAAGGAAATTTGAGAGTGCCCATCTCTCCCACAAATCCCTAATCAGTGAGAAATTTGAGGATTTTCTGGTCTAATTTGATAATGAACCTCCTGCCGATCAAGTAGTGTCTCCACTTTTGTACAGCCACAACAATTACCATTAATTCTCTCTCATAAATCGATTTCTTTTGAACCCTTTCTGATAAGGATTTGGTCATATAAGCTAATGGTCTGCCCTCCTGTAATAGCACTGTCCCTATTCCCTTGCTGGAAGCATCAGATTCTACCACAAATTGCTTGGAGAAATCTGGCACTAACAGTGTCGGCAATGCTGCCATGGCCTTTTTCAATCATCAAAAGCTTTGGTAACTTCCTCATTAAATAAAAATGCTTCCTTCTTTAACAATTCGGTCAAGGATTAGAACAGTAACCTTGTATCCTTGCACAAACCACCTATAGTATCAAGTCAATCCTAAAAAACACCTCAGACCTTTGAGATTTGTGAGGTAGGGCCAATTAAGCATGTCTTCCACCTTGGTAGAGTCTGTTGCTACTCCAATGGCAGAAATGACATGGCCTAAATATTCCATGAGTGACATAGCAAATTCACACTTCTTGTTGGCCACTAATGAATTTTCCTACAGCAAAGTCAGCACCTGTCTTAGGTGGTGTTGATGATCCTCCAAACTCATGTTGTACACCAAAATATCATCAAAATATACCAAGATAAACCTTCTCAAATACAGCCTCAACACTTCATTCATCAAGCCTTGAAATGTTGAAGGAATATTGGTAAGGCCAAATGGCACTACCAAATACTCATAGTGACCCTCATGAGTTCTAAAAGTTGTCTTTTGAACATCTTCCTCTTTCATTCGAATATGGTGGTAACCTAATTTCAAATCTAGCTTAGAAAAAATGGTGGCCCCAGCTCCCATCCTTCTTTTAAACTAAAATAATAAGACTAGCATAAGGACTAACACTAGGTCTAATTATTCAAGCTCTCAACATATCTTGCACCAATTTCTCAATCTCATTCTTTGGATAGTAAGGATACTTGTAAGGCCTCAAATAAGGAATCTCTGCTCCCACCTTTAAGATGATAGCATGGTCTTGCCTCCTTGATGGAGGTAACCCCTGTGATTCTTGAAAAACAAACTCAAACTCTTCCAAAATTTGTCTTATGCAATCTGGAGTTGTTCTTATGCCTTCCTTTGGTTGCACTGCAGCCAAACAATACTCCACCCAATAAATCTCCTCCTCCACCTTCAAGTGTTTGAGTGTACCTTTTAATAGGGCTTCTAATACACTCAAGGAAGAATCTCCCATCATCTGATAGACCTCTCCACCCAATTTGATTTTCAAGGTTAATTTATCAAAATTATCCTTGATTTACCCCAATCCTCTTGACCATTCCATTCCCAATATCATGTCAACCCCATCCAAAGCAAAAAAATAAAAATTGTGTCAAAGGAACTTTCTGCACCACCAATTTCAAATTTGCACACATCCCTTGAGCCTTCACACTATGGCCATCACCTACTTTTACCAATATTGTTATGTTCTTTCTATTGGCAGCCTCAGTCTCTTCACAACAAATTCATTGATGAAATTGTGGGAAGCTCCACAATCAATTGGAATTAAAATTGGGTTACCTTGTATCTCTCCCCATAATTTGGAAGAGTGCTTGGAAGTCATACCCACCATACTCCGAAGATGCAAAGTAGTAGTGGAAGACTTACCATTCCATTGAATTACCTCTTCTTCCTCGAACTCTTCCACTCCTTCCTCAAGCAAAATTATTCTAATTTGCTTGTTCTTGCACTATTAGAGAATAAATAATAAATACTTTTATTAGTTGTTGTATTCAGTTAGTTTTTTTGTTTTAGGTCTTGTTATTCTCCTTGCAGTAATTCTCTATATATGTAACTGTACAGCACAATATGTTTTTTAGTCTTTCAATAATATTCTCTTCTAAATTATGTTTTCCTATAAGGTATCATCGTGAGCTCAGTGCGATCTTGGGCTAGCGCTCTTGTCGTTGTGTTCTCTCGCCGTCGCGTCCTCTCACCGTCGCGTCGCGCTCTCTTGCTGTAGCGCCCTCTTGTCGATTGGGTTCTCTCGACGAAGCTCTTGTCGTCGTGTTCTCTCACTGTCGCATTTTCTCTAGCCGTCATGTCGCGCTTTCTTGCTGCCGTGCCCTCTTGCCGTCGCGTTCTCTCAACGAAGCTCTTGTTGTTGCGTCCTCTCACCGTCGCGTCCTCTCGCTGTCGCGTTCTCTTGTCGTCGCATCCTCTCGCCATCGCGTAGCATTCTCTTGCTGTGGTCTTTCTCTCGACGAAGCGTTCTTCTCGCTGTCACGTTCTTCTTGTTGTGTTTCTTGTTGTGGTGTTGTTTCGTCTCCTTTCCTTTTGATCCTTGAAATTACTCTTGTGTATATTTCAATTGTATTCCAATGGCGTCTGCTCCTGCAAACTCCACTCAAGCTTCCGCCAGTGTCACCAACACTTTCTCTCAGACTGTCACTTGCAAACTTAATGAGAAAAACTTCATGACCTGGCAGCAACAGGTCACTGCTGTCATTCGTGCTCATGATCTTGAGCATTTTGTTGTCAATCCAAAGATTTTCTTGATTTTTAGTCTTTCAATAATATTCTCTTCTAAATTATGTTTTCCTATATGCACAAATGCCCGAGTTACAATTTCTCTTTACATCTGAAACAAATTCATTTTCTCCTCCTTTCTTGATATTTTGCATCAATCATATTTCTCCAATTCTTCTTCCCTTCTTCTATCTCCTTACTGCTCTCCATTTTTATTTCAACTTTAACATCATTCAACCATCTGCCTTCATCCCTCTTGCTACCATAGATGTTCCTGGTCCACCCTCCTTTGTTTGAGACATTTGATGGTCCTCCCACCTCCTCCTTCAAGGTGGAGTTTATGGATTCAATCAAGAGAGCTAAATCCATAATTTCTTTCAAAGAACTAAGTTGCTGCAACCTTAACTTTAACCCCCTCTTTACGGCCATTCAAGAAAATGTCTTTCAAATAATTTGCATCTCAAATCATGAGAAGACCTGAATTCTTCTCAAATTTCTCCCTATATTCAACAACACTTCCTCCCAGATGAGTTCACCAAACAAAAGGGACTCACATCCAGTCATCAGATGAGTTCAGAATCTTGGTCTTCCTCCCAGATATGGCTTCAACACAGGCGTCTTGGGCATCCTCCTTTTAGTGTCCTTAAGTCATTATTCCCTTTTTTGTTTACAAAAGTGTCGATTGAGTCCTTTCATTGTGATGTCTGTCAATTTGCTAAACATCATCGAACAGTTTTTCTTCCCAGTAATAATAAAAGTTCAAAACCTTTTGATCTTGTTCATTCAGATGTGTGGGGGCCTGCATCTACTTCTAATATTTCGGGTGCCAAGTGGTTTGTTTCTTTTATTGATGACTGTACACGAGTTACTTGGATTTTCCTCATGAAAGATAAGTCTGAAGTTTTCCAACTGTTTGTTAATTTTTACCAAACGGTCCAAATACAGTTTGGAAGTCCTATTAAGAGATTGCGTTCTGATAATGGGAGAGAGTATGTAAATCAAAATCTCTCCAATTTCCTTAAAGAAAAAGGAGTTATTCATGAGTTAACCTGTGTGGACACCCCCCAACAAAATGGGGTTGCAGAAAGGAAAAATCGTCATCTCCTTGAGGTTACTAGAGCATTACTCTTTCAAATGTCTGTCCCTAAGTCTTACTGGGGGGAAGCTGTTCTCACTGCCACATATTTAATCAATAGATTGCCCTCTCGTGTTCTTGATGGTGTTAGCCCTGTTCAAGTCATGACCTCATTCTATCCATCTATACCCATTATGACTAGCCTTCAAAGTCGTGTCTTTGGTTGCTCTGTTTTTGTCCATGTTCATAGCACTCATCGAGGAAAGTTAGATCCTCGGGCTATCAAATGTGTCTTCATAGGTTATGCCTCAAACAAAAAGGGATACAAATGTTATCACCCCCAAAGTCGTCGTGTCTATGTCTCCAAGGATGTCACATTTCATGAAACAGAATCTTTCTTCAGTAGTACTCATCTTTCTTCGGAATTGAAGTGTCTCACTCTAAGAAAGGCATTTTCATATCTCAACAAAAATATATCACAGATTTACTGAAGGAGACAGGCATGGCAGCTTGTAAACCTATGAGTACTCCCATGGACACAAATCTCAAATTAGGAAACTCAGACGATAGTGCAACAGTGGATAAGGAGATGTATCAACGTTTGGTTGGAAAATTAATTTACTTGTCTCACACAAGGCTAGATATTACATTTGCTGTAAGTTTGGTCAGCCAATTTATGCATTGTCCGAGAGAAGTTCATTTGCATGCCACATACAGAATTCTGCAGTACCTCAAGGGGACTCCAGGAAGAGGAATTTTATATAAAAGAAATGGAAATACAAGTCTTGAAGCCTACACTGATGCTGACTATGCAGGATCAATTATTGATAGGAGATCTACTACGGGATATTGCACATTTCTTGGGGGAAACTTAGTAACATGGAGAAGTAAAAAGCAAAATGTTGTTGCTAGATCTAGTGCTGAAGCTGAATTTCGGGCTATGGCACAAGGTATTTGTGAACTACTATGGTTGAAAATTATCCTAGAAGACTTGAAGATTACATGGGATGGACCAATGAAACTCTATTGTGATAATAAGTCAGCAATCAACATAGCTCATAATCCTGTTCAACATGATCGAACCAAACACATTGAAGTGGATAGGCATTTTATCAAAGAAAAGCTTGATAGTGGTTTGATTTGTACTCCATATGTACCTTCACAAAGACAACTTGCAGATATTCTTACTAAAGGCTTGCGCTGTCCAGATTTTGAGAGAATAATATGCAAGCTGGGAATGGAAAATATTTATTCTCCAGCTTGAGGGGGAGTGTTGGAAATAGGAGTATTTAATGATTATTACTCTTCCTAGTTTCTTTGTTCAATGTATCTTAGGAAGTTGTGGTATTTTTAATTGTTGTCTTGGAAATAGTTGATGTCATTTATTATCTTTGTAAACACTATCATAATAAATAAGATCATTTTGCTGTGTGGATAAATACACTCAAGCATAATCAGAAAATGAGTTCCCTATTTCTCTCTTTTAACAACAAAAAAATCACTGGAATAAAATTAATAAATCATTGCACATTCAACATAATAAATAAATTTATGACAATAAAGAAATCCATGCCAATGAGCAATATTAATGAAACTTACAGCAGGAAGAAGGTTGGAAACTGCAGTGCCTGATGATGTTATGATTACTGCTGGAATGTGAGATCCTCTTCCATATCCAACAGCATGAAATGCAAGTGAACGCTCATCAAAGCATGAAATACATGTGATTAATTTGTGACTTGCAGCAGCAACAGCAAGTGGGGAAGATCTAGATCCAGGAGCAATACAAAAATACTAAAAGCAAGAATAAATCAGAAACTTGCATTAATGTTGGCATATCACATATGTATAATAATTTTCAAATCATCTTACCATCAAACCAAGTCTTGTGCATTCTTCAACAATAAGCGATGCCCAAACAGCGTTAATATTGGCACTTTCTTTCAATGAGGGTGATAATTCATTGGCATGATCCAGCTGACAATACGAGAGAAGCATAAAATGGACAAACTTCAGTCAAAATTTCTAATTATAACATTATTAAAATAAATCCTCAATGCACTGCAAAATAGAATAAAACAAATCAATCTGATATAGCATTAAGAAACAACTAAATAACTCGGCTAATGAATAATTTTCTGGTTTCTTTTATGGTAAAGCAATCAAATCTCCCAAAAGCTTAAGAAAGTGTTTGGCAACCTTCAAAAGCTAAATATCTAGGCGCAATGGAGCTGGGTTTTAGATGTAAATGTAACCATTCGGTTATCATTTAAATTCTAAAAAAACATGTTTGTATCTTAAATTCGTAATTGAATTTGAGATAAAACATGTTCTTATAAAAAAAAAAAAAACCCAACTCTATGTTCGCTTTCTCCTACTCCAAAATTTTCCAAACTCTTTCTTTCCTTTTTATTCTTTCTCATATTTAGCTAAATTAAACAGTCATTGCTAAATATGATAAAGTGCATAGACCTCCTATAAATAAAAAGTCAATCCTCCTGCAAAAAAAAAAAAATTAACAACTTTTTAAGTTTAATTTGAATTAGTGTTTTTCTTAGAGCTGTAACAAAAAAGTATTAATAATTCATGAGTCCTTCACCTAACATAACATGTATCAAAGCCTCTATGGTTAAGTGGTCTTGTGTTCAATCTTTGTTGTCTTCATTCGTTTAATAAAATGTTGAATTTCAGTACAAGGTGGGAATGTGTACCGTCCATGATTCAAGCCCAAAGGGATCTTGTGTGAGAGAGCACATTAGAGCGGAAATAGAAAGTAGAGAACCATTTATGCACCATCACCTAAGCTTAAGCTTTTGGGATAATAGGTATTTTTCAGTTTTGAAGCAAATGAACCTTATTTTTGAATCTATCCAATTTATATCTGATTAGAAGGTTTTCCAATCCCAAGTTTTTCTCCCTTATATTTTTGTTGTTCATAATAAATTTGTTGGATTTTCCTAACTAACTCTGACTCTATCCAGATAAGAGATCAAGTATTATATCCTGTCCAAAATAACAATATACCATATTACTTGAAACAACAAGGGATGCTGATAGCCTGACACAAAATTGACTGGAAGATGGAGACTCTCTCTGCAATAGAAGTGAATGAAATTAGAAATGTTCAATTATGCAGCAGAGAGAAGAAACATACACGGATGGGAAAAAACATAAATTTCAAATTAATGAAAGAAAAAGTGAAAATATAAAGGATGAAAAATGTACTGGAAAAATAGAATACCAGTTCCATGATGTTGTCCACACTTTCTCTACCTCTTGGTGCAATGGCATACATGTAAACCTAGAAATTCATGTACATCAGCAAATAAACAACAAAAAGTCAACAAACTTGGCAATCAGCAACTTAGAGCAAGCTAGTGTCGGATCAAGAAATACTTGTTGCTGTAGAAAAATATTGGAATAGGAGCATTATGCAAATTAACAAAAAAAAAAAAAAGGAAAGATAATAAAGGAAAACATTCAACATTAAAATTGAACCACTTACCAACTTCAAAATTCAAAAATGAATGAAAGGAAGGATATATAGTGTTGAAGTTCAGAGAGAGAGAGAAAGACATCTAACTGAATCTAACTCAAAGCTCATTTGGGTTTGCACCCAGCTCTTGATAGCATGTTGAATTTTAGCGAAAGAGAGAAAGAAATGTAACTGAATCTAACTCAACTCATTAGGGTTCACAACCAGCTCTTGATACCATATTGAATTTCAGAGTAAGAGCAAAAGAGATGTAACTGAATCTAACTGAAAGATTAACTGTATTACAGAGTATTGGAATTAGCTACAATTGTGATGAGTCAGCAGTTTATAGAAGAGTGAACAAAACAGAGGGTCAGATAACAGACTGTTGTAAATAAAAATACCTTAGGAGATTTGATATTAAAGATGAGTTGTGGGCAATTGAGAAAAATAAGAAGATGAAAGAAAGTGAATCATGCCAAAGAGTAATGGAAGATGTGACTCTTGGTAGTGAAGATTATACATTGGTGGGAGATTTAAGAGAATTAGAAGTTGAGACACTTGGGGCCAATGAAAGAAAGAAGGTTGCTATGAAAAAGGGGCCTATTGACCTTTTTTGTAAACGTCCGGAAACAATAATTGCAAAAAACAAGAAGGAGAAATTGAAGCAAATAAGTATAAGGGAGAGTTGTGACAAGGAAGCTACAGCAAGGGTCCACCAATATATAGCCCGGTTTTGGTATCAAGCTGGACTATCTTTTAACATGATCAAATTGGAGAGCTTTCATGACATGGTTGCAGCTATTGGGTCTTTTGGACCGCATTTGCAACCTCCATCTTATCATGAGATAAGAGTTCCACTTCTCCAAAAAGAGATGGGGTATACTGAAAAATTGATGAAGAGTCAAAAGGACCATTTGGCTAGTTTTGGATGTTCCATCATGTCAGATGCTTGGACGGACAAGAAGCAAAGATGCATTATTAATTTTTTGGTGAACTCTTCTGTAAGGACAATGTTCATCAAATCTGTTGATGGGTCTAATTTTGTGCAGACCAGAGAGAAGTTATTTGAATTAATAGACTCTATTGTAGAGGATATTGGGGAGGAAAAAGTTGTCCAAGTCATCACGAACAATGGGAGTAATTATGTTCTTGCTGGCAAGTTGTTGGAGGTAAAAAGGAAGAAAATATTTTAGACTCCATGTGCAGCCCATTGCATAGATTTAATGTTGGAGGACATTGGGAAGCTTCCCAATATCAAAAAAATTATTCAGCGGACAATTTCTATTGTTGGCTTCATTTATAGCCATTCAAGCACCCTAAGTTTGAGGCCGGGCCGTACTGCATGGAGAACGCCCCGTTCTTCAAGGAGAATGGCCCGTCCTCCTTTCAGTACGGCCCGTACTGAAAGGAGAACGGGCCGTTCTGAGTTTCATTCTTCAATTCGTGCTTTTCACAATCTGGAACGGCCTGTTCCAGTTTAATTTTTTTTTCTTGACCAGCACTTTTAAGATCGGTTATAAAACAACCGATCTTAAATGTTTACTTTTAAAATCGGTTATTTAACCGATTTTAAAAGTCTAACTTTTAAAATCGGATCTTTTAAAATCGATTACAGAACCGATTTTAAAAGTCAAAAATAACCGATTTTAAAAGTCTTTTTTCCACTAGTGATCATAGAGGTCCAACAAGAATATGAAAGCATCAACAAGAGCAAAAATAAAAAACACAATGCATAATGAACATAAATATTTTTAATGTTATAAAAATCCTTCAATGTTAGGATAAAAATCAAGAGCTATCTAAATCAAAGAAATAGTTTAACTATAATCAATTAGGACACAAGAGTTTTCAACAAGTGCGCTAAATAGTACTTTTAAGTTTCAACTAGTCAAAACAACTGAAGCACTAATATTTACAAATGAGACTAAAAAATGAAAAACATCCAAAATAAAGTCGATGCTATGAACAACTTTTGTCCCACTTTATATCTTTTTTCATGGATTCAATTGTTGAAAATCAATAATCAAGTTTCTAAAATCTTCTTGTCCAAAAATTGACCCAAATCAACAAATAGTGAACAAATTTTTGTTTGCAATAGATGTTAGTTGCCTAGAAAATATGAGGGATGACTTTTCTTCTTCTATTTTTCTTTAATGGTTGTTTTTCTCACTAAAAAGAATGAGTTTCTCTTCCCTATTATGACCGTCTTCACTTGGATAGGTGAGATTAAATGAGTTTACATATTTAGTTTTTTTCTTCACATATGAAAGGAGCTCAAAATCTAACAAATTTGTAGAAGTTCTTCTGAACATATAAGCTTCTCCAAAATATATTTTTTTTATATGAAAAAAACATTAAATTTACATATAAGTTAATTTAAACTTAAATATGAAAAACTTATTTTTTTTCTAAAAGTATTTATAAAAAAAATTATTCAAATAAATTTTAAATTCTTAAAATTGATATTATTGCCTAATACGTCATTTTTCTAGTTATGACTTTTGATATTTTCTTTATAAGAATCAATAGTAAAAGAAAAAAAAATGAATTGACCTTTTTTCAAAAGTTAAAATTAATTTGTACAATTAATTTCTATAAAATCTCTCATCTACCTTCTTTAAAAAATAAGTCTATAGGTTGATTTTAACTTATAAAATATAAAAAAATCAATTCATTTTACCTTTTTGTTTTTTTTTTTCCATAAGTGCTTTTGAAAAATAACGTAAATAGAACATATATGTGTGTGAATTAAAGGAAAAAACTTATATAAGTTAAAAGTGATACTAGAAGGTGTTGAATCTTGAACCGAGGTTGTTTAAATTATGATAAATATTTAGTTATGTAAATTATAAGATTGATGAAAAGTCATATGCACTAGCATTTCAACTAAGTGTTTCATGGAAAATTCATAGAGAACGGGCCGTTCTGAGTTTCATTCTTCAATTCGTGCTTTTCACAATCTGGAACGGCCTGTTCCAGTTTAATTTTTTTTTCTTGACCAGCACTTTTAAGATCGGTTATAAAACAACCGATCTTAAATGTTTACTTTTAAAATCGGTTATTTAACCGATTTTAAAAGTCTAACTTTTAAAATCGGATCTTTTAAAATCGATTACAGAACCGATTTTAAAAGTCAAAAATAACCGATTTTAAAAGTCTTTTGACTCCTCTGCTTTGGTCTCTCAACGTGATGATCGTCAGCGCCCTCGCAAACCGGGCAAAGGTCGCCCCAAGTGTGATCACTGTCACAAACTAGGCCACACAATT